GTTCCACTCAGAACAGGCCTCACCATGGTCAACCAAAGAGATTGAGTGCCCATGCCATGGATATGAGTGTGCCATATCCAAAGTTTGGCTTTGGGAAATAGACGTATGAGTGCTGCCAGCATTGCTGCAGAGGTTGAAGGGGTGAGGGGTCAGTGCTCAGACCATATGCCACACACTGCATCAAATTGGTCTCCAGAGCTGTCGTCCCAGAAGGAAGCCTCTTCTAATGATGCACAAGAATGCCTGCATACAGTTTGCTGCAGACGAGCAGACTAAGGACATGGATATCTGGAATCATGTCCTGTATTCTGGTGAGACTAAGAAAAACATATTTGGTTCAGATGGTGTCAAGCGTGTGTGGCAGCAACCAGGTGAGGAGTACAAAGACAAGTGTGCTGTGCCTATAGCCAAACATAGTAGTAGAAGTGTCATGGTTTGGGGGTGCAGGAGAGCTGCCGGCACTGGGGAGTCACAGTTTATTGAGGGAACCATGAATGCCACCATGTACTGTGACATACTGAAGCAGAGCATGATCCCCTCCCTTCGGAGACTGGGCTGCAGAACATTATTCCAACATGATAACGACCCCAAACACACCTCCAAATAGCCAAACATAGTAGTAGAAGTGTCATGGTTTGGGGGTGCAGGAGAGCTGCCGGCACTGGGGAGTCACAGTTTATTGAGGGAACCATGAATGCCACCATGTACTGTGACATACTGAAGCAGAGCATGATCCCCTCCCTTCGGAGACTGGGCTGCAGAACATTATTCCAACATGATAACGACCCCAAACACACCTCCAAAATGACCACTGCCTTGCTAAAGAAGCTGAGGGTAAAGGTGATGGACTGGCCAAGCAGACCTAAACCCTATTGAGCAACCTGTGAAGCTCTGGTGAACTCTATGCCCAAAAGGGTTAAGGCAGTGCTGGGAAATAATGGTGGCCACACAAAATATTGACACTTTGTGCCCAATTTGGACATTGTCACTTAGGAGTGCACTCACTTTTGTTGCCAGAGGTTTAGACATTAATGGCTGTGTTTTGTGTTATTTTTAGGAGACAGCATATTTACACTGTTATACAAGCTGTATACTCACCGCTTTACATTGAAGCCAAGTGTCATTTCTTCAGTGTTGTTGCTTCCTGAAGAAGGATGCTGGACAGTGGCATTAGAATGAACCGTGGAGGCGGTGTGGAAATGAACTTGATGGCGTTCCCTGTGGCAATGATGGTAAGTACCCATTTGTCTGTGTTGATTGTTGTCCATAATAGTAAGTGGGCCAAGAGTCACGTTAAGGATACTGGAAGAAGGTTGGTATGGGCAAGTAGAGGTAGGTATAAGTCAGAGATTCTATTTTTGCTTCTTATCCGGTCAGTGAAAGGACTGGAATTTGGGCAGACCAGAGCCATGCATACCTTCGTAGGGCATTAGAATCCGAGTCAGGTGTAGGCAAGTTAGGTGAAGACTCCTGTACCACAGAGGAGTGGGAAGAATTTGATATTGAAGAGCAAAGAGAGGGCGCTGGAGGTAGGGTAGTATCGTGGAGGCATCGATACAGAAGTGGTATGCCTTAATTTTGATGACGCTTGCTGAGTTGGTAGCGGCGTAGGTTGTGGTACTGGGGGATTAGACTGCGGTACTGAAGAGGTATGACACTTAGACTGATCCTTGTGTCTGGTATCCAAAGCCTGATTTTCAGCAGGTCTAGTTGGATCATGTGCCTGTACCGAGCATGGGTGGGAACAATGCAGCTCTTAGGTGCTGCCAACTGAGCATGGGGTGAGTCAACATGCCGTTTACGAGATTTGCACTTCGGTACTGGAGATGATGGTAGTGAATCAGAATCCGATGAGGATGAGCATCTAAGATCATCCTGGTACCAGTGATGGTATTGAGGAGAAAAGAATGAATCTGAAGTGTCATAGTCATCGCAGTAGTAATGCCTTCGACAGCAATGGTTCCAATGAGTGCTCGATATTGAGAGCGTCTATAGATGGGTTCAGAGTCCTCTGGTGAATCATAGAGTCTGACCCTCTTAGCATGTCTATGCTTTTTCGACAGCTCTCTAGAGACAAAGGACCCAATAGGTGTCATGGGTCTGTCATCATCATCATCTTGTTCTGTTAGATGTCTTTCCTTTCTTGACCTCTTCCTGGGAGGAGAGGATTGAGGAACTGGTACAGAGTCATGATTGCTAGGTGAAACAGAGTGAACAGTAGAGACTGGGCTTGAATGCAGTGATGTCTGTACCAAAGTAACTTCGGCAGCGCCTGGTGAAATCGGGAAATGAGTAAGAATGGGAGACTCCAGTTGGGCTGAGGGAATGGTAAGCACATCCTCTGAGGAATAAATTTGGATGGTAAGTTGTTCCCGTATAGGGAAATCTGCTGCAGGTGGAGGGTGTGACTCAGAAGATTTTTTCTTTTTCTTAGGCTTAGACTGGGTAGAAGCCAGAGAAATTTTAGCAGTAAGGGCTGCTTTAGTTGAAGATGTTGCCTTAGATGCATGTTTAGATCTTTGGGATGCCTTGGAAGGGGTCGGCGAGGCAACAGGTGCAAGGTTGGACTGGGGTCTCCACGCTTCCATAGAGGAGGCTGGAGAGACGTCTTGACTGGGGTCTCCACGCTAGGCATAGCTTCCATAGAGGAGGCTGGAGAGACGTCTGCCAAAGGAAGGATCTCAGGTGTTGCTCTCTAAGCTTAAGTGCCTGTTTGCCAAAGCTTTTGCAGATTGAGCAAGAAAAGGTCTGGTGCAATTCCCCCAGGGAAAGCAAACAGGTTTTATGGCCGTCAGTAGCGGCGATCTTGTTAGGGCACTTGGCACACTTTTTGAAGAGGGTGTGTGCCATAAATGGCGGGAATGGGAGAAAAAAGAAACTGGGCGGAACGAGGTGGGGGCCGTAATAATAGTCTCTTACAATAGATGAAAGGAAGCAATGAAGGAATAATGAAGAAATGTTATTTTTTCAAGAGTCTGAAACGACAAAAGAGCAGCAGCTTGGAAGAGGAGACCTCATGCGGCGGTGGCAAAAAAGAACTGAGGTAACTTTGAGGGTGAGTGGGCCTCGTGGACTGAGGGGGCAGTGTATTGTGCAAACAGCATAAAGCTCTGAAATATTCCAGAGATCTCTGTGCAGGCGCAGACTTAACCCCTTGGTGTGCATTCACAGAGACCACGAAGAAGAAACTTGTGATTCTTCTCTGCTGTTTTAGAACTGTACAGGGAGGAACTGTTCACAATGCATTCATTCAAAAGAGCTTTTTAAATGTTTTATTTGGACATGTAGCCTGACCTATTTCAGAACTGGGAAAACATAAATGCATATACTTCTATAATCTTAAATTAGAAATTTTACTTCTCCTGTGTATAAGATGAGTAAGTAATTTGAGGGGATTTTAAAAGAAGTATTTTATACATTAAACAAAGATAAACCCAGATTTGTTACTGAGTGCAACAACCTTGATCTGAGCAGAATGTTACTATGGCATAATACTTCCAATCTTTTGTTATGTAAACACATGAGGCAGGTTAAAACATTTTACCTCCAAACTATGAACAGTTTTAATAAAAAATTAAGCCATGTTTCTCAAGCAAGGAACACTGCTAATTAAAACTCTCACACAATACAAATTTTGCTCTCTATAATCCAGAAGCAAGCCAACACTTGCTCCTCTACAGGCTGCTGTCTCTATGCGATCTGAGTTTTGGAAGGGGAGTTAGTTCAGTTACATTCATTTGTGTGTTTCAAAATGGTTACCAAATGGTTACTTTCCTCAGAAAGCAGAAGGATGAACTACATAACAATACAGTGGACTAAATGTTGCTTAGTATAGTAAATTGCGCTTGAGTAGCCCATTGATGCAATGGGGATTTAGCAAGCCAACTCCTCTGTAAATTCCACTGATTTAAATTGGCCTACTCTAACTGCAACATATTATGCAGTTAGAGTAAACCTACTGAAAATCAATGGAACTTATGGAGGTGTTGACTCACTAAACCCTCACTGAGTCAATGGTTCTGCTCTACTACAATTTATTATGCTAAGCAACACAATTTCAACTAATTTATTGGTACACAATTTATTCTTCTATTTGAAGGAGTTTGGTAACCATTTTTGCAGCAGACAGATGGACTGTGATTTTGAATGTAAAAGAGAAATAATAAATAATAATTATGCTCCATCAAGTCAATTCTGACTTATTCAGCAATGGTTTTACATCTTATTTTGTTCACTAAATAATTATTAAAAAGAAAAATGTCACATACTGGATCATTGGGATTGTACTGGATGATGTACTCTATCTGGCCATTGGGACCGTCATCTATGTCCGTGGCACCGTTGTTCCCAGAGAATCCTGTAAAGATGGTGGTTCCAACTGGTGTTAACTGCAACAACAAAAGTGATATGCATGCTTAGAAGCTCTTGAAAGAAAGAAAGGCCACATTATTGTTTTAAATCATAATGTGATGTATCGACTTTCCAGTAATTCTACCTGTTGAATATGATGGCAGTTTCTAATCCCAACTTGAACATACATTAGGACTTTCCAGTAATTCTACCTGTTGAATTTGGTAGTTTCTAATCCCAACTTGAACATACATTAATATTTATTACCTATTTTACTTATTGGGATATTTATATCCCACCCTATCTTTCAAGATCTTACAGCAAGTACAAACAATAAATTAGAGCAGCATGAAACAATTACGAAAACAACTCACAAAATCCAAACAGGACCCATACTCCAACAAGTAATAATTCATACTATAGTAATGAAGATTCAAAAGCTTGAGTGAATAGTCAAATTTTTAACTAGGAGCTAAAATGAGGGCAATATTGGAACCTATTAAGACTCCAAAAGTGTACTCAGTTGACCTGGTTATACAGTACTAAGATTTTAAATATTGCACCCATTGCCCATTTAGCCCATCAGTTGGCTTCAATTCTAAGACTTCATTGCAAAACCAAAAATAAGAGTCTATAGCCTTACACAATGAAACATGCAGCCCATTTTGGCCAATTATTTTGCAAATAAACAAGCCCTTTCATGTTATTAGCTAATGAGAGAAGCCAATACAATTTGACAGGATCTCACAAATATAGAAACCAAATATTCTGGGTAAATCTTGCAATTGTGTGAATGCTTGATCTCTGGATATTTGCAAAGAGCTGAAATTTGTTTGAAAGGCGTCTTCAAATAGTCCAGAGAAAACAATGAAGTTGCTGCAGATTATAGGATCTGCAATTTAAAAAGGAACCTAACTGTGAAGATTCTCAGTCATCCAGGTGTGGTTATCAGGAAGTTAATTCATGGCAACTGGATTTCTTTCTTGTTAGGTTGAAATGTTTCGCTACTCATCCAAGCAGCATTTTCAGTCTGAGGAGAGTTGGTAGGAGATCCCTGATATATCCTCTATGTTAGATATATCAGGGATGTCCTACCAACTCTCCTCAGACTGAAGAAGCTGCTTGGATGAATAGTGAAATGTTTCAACCTAACAAGAAAGAAGTCCAGTTGCCATGAATCATCTTTCAGACAAAAAAGAAACAGTTCCGTGCCATGATATTATGCACCTTATTGAATTTCCTGCTCTGGCTGAAGATTAACTCAACGACTCTTAAGGTCTCTCCCCACATCTATAGTTTCTATGGCCTTTCACAAACATCATGCTAACTTTTAGCTTCCCTGGGCTTCTGTGAGCTTAGCTAGATAGAATCATAGAATCATGGAAAAGTGAAGTTGGAAGGGGCCTACAAGGCCATCAAGTCCAATCCCCTGCTCAATGCAGGAATACAATCAAATCATATCTGCCAGGTTATTATCTATGTTTTTCTTGAATGCCTCCAGTGTTGGAGCACTCACCAACTCCTGAGGTAACTGGTTCCACTGCCATACTGCTCTAACAGTTAGGAAGTTTTTCCTTTCAACCAATTTTTGGCTTCCTTTAACTTGAGCCCATTGTCATGTGTCCTGCGCTCTGGGATGATCGAGAACAGATCTTGCCCCTCCCCTTGACAGTCTTTCAAATACAGTGGTGCCTCGCTTAATGCGTGCACATTTAACGACAAATCCACATAGCGACGCATTTTTTGCGATCGCTAATGTGATCGCATTGCGATGTTTAGATAGGCTAAACATCGTATTGCGATGATCGGTAAGCATTTCGCTTACCAATCTTTGCATTGCGATGTTTAGAAAACAGCTGATTGGCGGTTCCAAAATGGCCGCCGGGTGCAGAAAATGGCCGCCCACAGCATTTTCGCGCCTTGCCCTCGCTTACCGGGCAGCGAAAATGGCAGCCGGATGGGGGAATCTTCGCTTACCGGAGAGTTTTTCCCCAATAGGAAAATATAGCAACGAATTCGGATAGCGACGTTAATCCTGGAACGGATTAACGGCGCTATGCGGGGCACCACTGTATTTGAAAAGTGCTATCATATCACCCCCTCAGTCTTCTTTTCTCAAGGCTAAACATGCCCAGTTCTTTCAGCCTTTCCTCATAAGGCTTGGTTTGCCCCCTGATCATCCTTGTTGCGGTCCTCTGAACTTGTTGCAATTTGTTAGCATCCTTCTTGAAGTGTGGTGTCCAGAACTGGACACAATACTCAAGGTGAGGCCTAACCAGTGCTGAATAGAGGGGAACTAGTACCTTGTGGGATTTGGAAATGATACTTCTATTAATTAAGCCTAAAATAGCACTTGCCCTTTTTGTAGCCACATCACACTGTTGGCTCATATTTAGCTTGTGATCTATGACAATCCGAAGATCCTTCTCACTCATAATTTTGCTGAGATGCTGCCCAGGAAAGGAAGGGTAAGTACAGAAGGTGAGATAAATGTTCACCTGGAAGTTTATTGTTGCAGTGAGGGTGGAGGTAGATCAATAGCAGTGAGTGAGGCAGTGAAACAGGCAGAGATAGTTTATTTCACCAGTGAAAGGCATGTACAATACAAAGAGTCAAGGGCTAGTCCTGAATGAAGTAGCAGGGCTAGTCCTGAATTAAGTAGCCACACAGCTTATATAGTTTCTCTTAACAAAAAGGAAGAGTATAGCATCTGAAAGCAATTTACAAGTATTTATTATCAATTGACAAGTTGCACTTAAACAACAAAGCAGCTATGGCCTTTCTGGACTTCAGTCAGGTAAATAAGAGACAAAGCAACTGATTACTGAAAAACTGCATGAGTTTTGGTGTCATCACTGAGTCAACAGTCACAAGATAATTAAGGAACAATGAGTCAATCAGCCACAAGATATTTGCTTGTTATATGTTGCTGTTTTTGTTGAACTTATGTTTGCTGTACATCTTAAATTTTTGTAAAGAGATGTTAAACATGGATAACGAACTCTGTGCTCTGGTGAAACATTAGGAAGAACAACCTTCAGAACATGGCTAAAGAGCCCGAAAAACCCACAACAACCAGCCATGAAAGCTTTCGAGAATTCTTCCAGTCCTCCTTTGCTTTTGATGTGTCCATGCCTTCTGAAGCTTTTATTTCATTTTTTCTTAATGACTGCTTGTTGCCCTCCCTGTAAGCTTTTTCATTTAAATAAAAGTACACAGGAAATCACTGAAGGATATTTTGGTCCTCACAAAAGATGCTCTCTTATTTTTATTTTGAAATCTGCCTTTGTTCCTTCAACAAGCCATTAAATTCAGAACAAAGATACAACTCAAGAATAGAATCAAGTCTACTTACAGCTAGTCTTGTGGGCAGAGATGAGCAGGGTTCACTGCATATTTTTCCAAAAAGTCATCAGATACTGTACTTAGTGAATGTTATTTGCTTGCCACTGACCTCTGATGGGGAAACAGGATGGAACGATAAAGTTGGCTTTCTCTCTCCTCGGTTCAAATTAATTGCTTTCATAAATCTATCCCCAAGGAGATAACTATTGTATCATCTTCACACAAGGTGATTAGTTCAAATATCAGTTGCAGGAATATTTCAAAAAGAGTTGGGAACACATTTATCTCAAACATGACTGCTCTTGAACAATCTGCAGAAACAGATTTATTTGTCATTTTACTGTATTTCATTAAGTAATATTTTCCAATGTCTTTTTCTCTTGAAATTCTCATGAAACTTCAGTAGGCTTGGGAAAGGATAACAAATGTAAGAATGGGGGACATTCCTACAATGCTAGTAATAGCTCACTTTCAGATGTCTGAACGTCTATAAAAATAGGAAAGGGACAAAGAGAGAGACTGGCAACATCCTCTGCTCTGGGAAGATGGTGGGAAGCTGAAGGTGCAGTAGACCCAACTGTTGCTTCGACAACCTGGCATAGCCAGCTGATCAGTTCATGAAAGGAAGAAGACAAATGGATGAAGGGGTCTTGTTTAGTAGACATTCATTCCTCATCCTGGGTTTCCAGAAAAGAAAGGAGGAAATAAGAAATGCCAAGGGACTCTAGCTATTCTATTATCTGAAACAAACGGCTTTTTAAAAGGGATTTCCCACGGTTAGTTTTTGGGGACACAGCTTAAAAACTAGAAACTAACAGTGTGTATGTTTTGAGGAACTGTTTCCCATCTTTGGAGATGTAAGGTTCTCGGGCAAGCCCTAAATTAATATTATAACAAACGTTTTTCCATTAGTGTTACAGCCCAGAATTGTGTTTTCCATGGCTGGAGGCAATTTCACTGTTCACTGTGAAGTCGCTCAGTCTGGCCATAGACAGATGGATGTCATGCTGGACATCATAAGGAAAGTTCAAAATCATTTACAAACGGTGAAATCTTTAGTGTAATACTATTTACAAGGGAGTCATTGGACCAAAGGGCACTTCTCTTAACCTTATAGTCCAGTCCCTTAGTCACACCTAAGTGGTTCCACCTTAGCTCTGGTGACACTAATCTTCAAGCACACATAAAAAGGGGAATGACTTCCAGCATAATCCTTCCTTCTTTCGAGTCCTGGTCCATCTGGTGCAATCTTTTAAACTGTCTCTGATACCTCCACTTTCTCAGTTGGGTCCTTGTAGTTGGGGTCTCCCTGGGTACGCTGGTAAGGTTTCCTTTTGACCCACAGTAGGCTAATATCCTTTGGACATAAACTAAAATGCTTGACTGTTGTTACCTCAAGGAGTGTTACGTTCAGTTGGGGAAGGCGCACCAATTAAAGAGAATCCAGCAAAGCAGGAGTAGACTGATGGACTGCCAACTCTACTTACCCACTCTAAGGCATTAGCCTGCTTTTCAGCTCCAGTCTCCTGCTGTCTCCACTGAACTCTCCATGACTACCTCAGTCCTTCACATGCTCTCTTTGTCCATTTCTCTCCTTGTCTTCCTTGCAGGCTCCCCAAACCTCCAATAGCTTCCTCTTTTACAGCCTGGGCTGGGGTAACTGTTAATCCATCCAGAACTAACCAGCCTCAGA